TACTCTGTGAATAAACCCGCCTTCGTGGCACTCACGCTCTTTGCTGGAAGATCCTTTCTCAGGGACACTCAGCCATTTAGTGTTGCTTTATGCTTTTTCTTCAAAGTGGAAGATTTGTTAGGGCTTCCCATTCTCACGTACTGCTGGATTTGAGCTGATGAGAATTTCACTGTGTGTAATTCACACTGCTGGATCAGGGGATAATCTCTGATTTAGCTCAGTTCTTGCTTGGCTTCCCTTGCAGGGAGCTCAGTCTCTGGAGTGATGGGAAGGACACACCCCTGTGGAGAGGTGTCTGGGCTAGAGGGACCTGGCAGGAGTCCGGGGCTGGTTCCTCCCAGGCTCTGTTCTTTGCTGTGGGTTGAGGCTGGACTGGCAGTCCTTTCTGGGAGCACCCTTCTGCTTCTCATGGAAACCACTGGCCCAGTCCAGTCATTTCCCCACTCCTCTGCCACGACACCATTCTCAGACACTGCCCTCTTCTTGCTGGCTTGATGGAGTTCTGCCCTAGGAAACATTGTCTGGGCTCAGTACTTGGACACAAGCCTGCTGAGAAGCACAGAACGTTACAGGGAACAGGGCTGAAGGATCCTTAGGTGGCACCTTGAAGTTGTTCCTGAATCAAAGTGCAAGCCTGGAACTGGAAGTGCTGTTCTTTTTTCCTTTTTTCTTTTAACTATTGTGTGTAAAAATTGCACAGAGCAATGGAAGCACTGATGTGGCTTTTTAGGTGGGATCTTCTGCCCAATCTCCAACTCGGATTTATTTTTTCCTCAGAATTACTACTTCAGTTTCTGCTGCTTTCAGTTGTTCCTTCTGCAAGCACCTCAAAGCTCTTGTGTTGTTGCTGATAAACAGCTTCCACGTTTCTCACTGTATGGGTGACTTGATTCGAATTTCCAGCCTGTGTGTTTCCTCTGGGGATGGGAGGTGATACACGCACACACACACACAGGGACACAGACACACACACAAACAGACACACACAGACAGACAGACAGACAGACAGACACAGACACACAGACACAGACACACACACACAGACACAGACACACACACACAAACACACACACACACAGAGACACACAGACACACACACAGACACACACTCGCACAGACAGACAGACACACACACGGCTACTCCAGCCCAGGTAACGCTGCTCTTCCTTTCTAGCACTCATTGCTGCTGCTTCTCAGACACCTATTTCTAACACCCATCAAATTCGATAAGGTCAGTTGTTCCATGATTCCCTGAAATGCCAATTTAGCAGTTTTTCATAAGGAATGCCCTCAAAGCTGTGAGTGATGTCACAGCATTCATGGACTGGCTTTCAGCAGAGCTATGCTGGGACTTTTGGAACATACACTTTAAACTCAGGCTAAATTTTCCCTTGCCTGTGCTGAAAGTTATGAAGGCATTTGTCAGAAGTGAGAAGCGCTTCGTCCTCCTCCCTTTGATGGATGCTGCTTTCCTCTTCCACCAGAACTGTAGTTGCTCCTTGGTGTGGTCCTGACACACATTTTACATTTAGGTCACCATGTATTTGGCCCAGATTTTAAAGTTTCACTCTCTCAGGCTGCATTTTGATGGATTTGGCCCGTGGCTTGTATTTAGCTGGGGAGCATTACGTGATGCTTTTACTACTAAAGTCGTTTCATCAAAGGAAATTGTGTTACAGTGAAATGATTGGAATGTCCCGTGTAGAGAAATAAAAGCAGGTGTTGAATTGCTTTCATTATTATTTGAAAAGTGCAGATGCATTTCTAAAGCTGTTGTGATTAAAATTCTACGGTTTTTGTTCTTTTCAAAGGGCAATTCTGATGATAATGTTTCAAAAAGACTTGGAGCTTAGAGCTGTCTGTACTGGCTAATCACACAGAATGCAGGCCTGATGCTCGCAGAGCTTGTGAGGAGCCCCAGGTGTGGGTAACTCCTGTCCCCGTTCACCGAGCACCTGCACACCCCACTGACTGTGCTGTCCTGGCCCCAGAGCAGTGGCTGACCCCCAGCCCCAGCCTTGGGCTGCTGGCACCGGGACATCACAAACTCTTCTGTGCTGGTTTGAGCACCGTCAGTCCCAACTGCGGAGAGCAAATTGATTCTTAAGCCCCGCCAATATGGCACCCCTGTCTTTATGGAAGTGGATTTTAATTAGATTGCAGCGTATGAACTAGCAGGGACAACTGAAATGTTTGCAAAAGCTGAGGCAATTCTCCCTGCTTTGGGCAGGGACAGCACTGTCACTCCCAGAGGCAGCTGCAGTTCCCTCTGGCTGGTCACGCAGATGTTAAATCCTGTCTGCACCGACTGCACCAGGCTCTTAAAAAAGTAATGAAGACATTTAAGTGAACATGATCTCACATCCCATCTTCAAATCCTCTGTGCAGGGGTTATGGAGCACTTGACCTGCACTGCTTCAGCTGCTCTGTAGAGCCACAAGGGCAGGTCACAGGACGTGGGCTTTTTTTCTGAGGCACAACCAGCACGTCCTGTAGCAGCACCACATTTTGCTGGTTTGAAAATAAGGATCTTGAAGTAAGAGACAGACTCTGTTCAGGAGTGCAGCAGTTGCCTCAGAGCTAATGAATTAAGGCAAAAATCAAGGGTTTGATTAACTGTTCAGCTCTCAGATTTAATTTGAAAAGTCTGTAGGTACACAAATAATGATTTTCTGTCCTAGCCTTGAAAATTATTCTTTTTGGCTATTTTGTTTTAAATTATGGCCATGGTTTCAGAAGAATCTCACTGAATTATCTGGAGCCTCAGCTGGTCAGAGCATGGTGCTAATACACCAAGGCTGTGGACTCAATCCCCATGCGGGACATTTACTGAAGAGCTGGACCCCGTGATCCTTGACCCTTACAACTCAGTGAATCTCTGAACTTAAGTGCAGTCAGCAAAATCTACCCCTGCATGGTGACTCCATCACACAGAGATTTCACTCTAAAGCTTTTGGTCAACGTTTGGGTGAAAGGTTTTCTTTTCTCCTGTGTTCATCATTCCGAGTAGAGTATTTTTGGTCAGGAGCGGTGGGAGCTGGCGCAGGGCTGTGCCGGCCCAGTCCTGCGGGTGCCCGGCGGTGTGGGGAGCCGCTCCCGCAGCTCCTCCGCTGGGTTTCGGCTGCCGCCGGGATCCCGGCTCTGCTCTCGGTGCCCGTGCAGAGCAGCGGGGACGGACACGAGGTGGCGGTGCCGGCGCGCCCGCGGCTCCCCGCGTTAGGGACCCACGAGTAAAGCGGGTCCTCCGCACCGCCGGAGCCGCCCCCGGTTCCTCCTCCTCCCTCCCGGCCCTCCCGGTCCCCTCCCTGCCGGCTCCGGGGAGATGACGAGCGGCGGCAGCGGGAGCGAATCCCGCTCCTGCCCGGCAGCCGCGGCCGCGCTGTGTGCCCGCATCGCCGGCCGGGACCCCGCGGAGCCGGGACAGGCACGTTGGGGCTGCCGAGGGTTCGGAGCGGGAGGGACTGCACCGAGACTCGGGCGGGGAACGGCGGCGGCCGGCAGCGCGGCCCCGGCGGGGCGGTGACCGCCGCTGTCCTCGGTGCTGCCGCTGCCCAAGGTGCTGCCGCTGCCCGGCGCTCTCCGTGCCCGGCTGTGCCCGTCGCTGTCCGGCTGTGCCCGGCTGCGCCCCGCTGTGCCCGGCGGTTCCCGGCGGTACCCGTTCCCGGAGGTGCCCGTCCCCGGCGGTGCCCGGCTATGCCCGGCTATGCCCGTCGCTGTCCGGCTGTGCCCCGCTGTGCCCGGCTGTGCCCGTTCCCGGCGGTGCCCGTCCCCGGCTGTGCCCGTTCCCGGCGGTGCCCGCTCGCGGCGCTGCCCGGTGCCGGTGCCGGTGTTGGTTCCGGTGCCGGTGCCGGTGCGGGACGCGGGCTCCCATCCCGGCCCGACTCCTTTAAGATGATGCAATCGGCATCGCCCTCCGCGCGGCGGAGCGGGGCCCGGAGCGCAGCGGGGCGGAGCGGAGCGCGGGGCGGCCCCGGCCGTGCCGCCGGTCCCGGCGGGCCATGGGGGAGCCGCCGGCCGCGCTGCCGCCGCGGGAGCCGCCGGAGCCCGGCAGTGCCTAGCGCAGGAGGCTGCGGGCTTTCTGCAAGTCATCGGGGCCGGTGGACGGGCCCCGCTGCCCTCCCGCTTCCCCAGCCCAGAGCATCCACTCGGGAATTATTTAATTTATTTATTTATTTACTTCCCTCCGCCGCGCTGTATGTACTGGTTTCCTCGTCACCCGCCACGGTTAACTTCCCTGTGACTCGGTTTAACACTTGAGACCTCCGTGGATGCTGCTAAGAGCACTTCTCTTGCCTTTGCTGTCCCTTGCTGGGATCGGATTCACACTACCCGGACCCTGTGTGCCTGTATGTGTGTTCTGAGTGTCTTGACATTTTGGTTTTCTTTACAAGAGCTATGCATTAATTGTAACCAAGGTAAGACTCCCCGTTCTTGTTCCCTCATGTGCATGTCTAATTTAGATGTTTCTTTAAAGATGCAGTATGCAGTTTCTTTTAAGCAGTGGATCATATGTAACCCTTCCATTGATGAATACTTGTGAAATAGAAACGTAGAGCTTGCCAAAAAAAAGGGACCTATTTAACAGATTTAGCCTGGCTCTACAAACTGCTCTGCTTTTCTCTGTTGCAGCAGCTGTGATGCTTAGAAGAGTAATTTTGTGCCTTGTTTTGTTTTCCCTTTTCACAGACCTATGAATGACCATAGGCTTGGCTTGACCTTGATTTTGATGGCTTTGTTGGAAGATCTGATGATGTGATTGCATGTCATGAGGTGATTGCTCTCCAGCCTCCAGCCTCCGTGGCTCAGTGTATAAACCACTCCTGCCACACTGTCACTCATGGACAATTCGGGTTTTTCTTTTAAACAAACCTTGTTGCTATTTTTATTTTCTCACTTCTCCTTTCCCCCTTGTTTCTCCTTAATGTTGGGAGCCTTGTTCTGCCCTCTGATGTGATTGATAGTCCTCCTTCTCTTGCTGCTGATTTCCAGTTTAAGCTACAATGGCTCTGAGTGGCAACTGCAGGACTTACCTTCCTGCTCGGGAGCAGGGGACAGGGCTGCACTCCTTCCCCGAGGTGGTGGAGCTCAACGTGGGCGGCCAGGTTTACTTCACTCGTCACTCCACCTTGGTTGGCACCCCTCACTCCCTGCTCTGGAAAATGTTCACCCCAAAGAGAGACACAGCCAACGATCTGGCCAAGGACTCCAAGGGAAGATTCTTCATCGACAGAGACGGTTTCCTATTCCGCTATATTCTGGACTATCTCAGGGACAAGCAGGTGGTTCTGCCCGACCACTTCCCAGAGAAGGGAAGGCTCAAGAGGGAGGCTGAGTACTTCCAGCTCCCGGACTTGGTGAAGCTCCTGACTCCCGATGACAGCAAGCAAAGCCCCGACGATTATTGCCACAGTGACTACGAAGAGGTGTCCCAGGGCAGCGACACGAGAATTTGCCCCCCCTCATCGCTCCTACCGCCGGACCGCAAGTGGGGATTCATCACCATCGGCTACCGTGGCTCGTGCAGTATTGGCAGGGAGAGCCAAGCAGATGCCAAATTCAGGAGGGTCCCAAGGATTTTGGTTTGTGGAAGGATTTCTTTGGTCAAAGAGGTTTTTGGAGAAAGTTTGAATGAAAGCAGAGACCCGGACAGGGCTCCAGAGAGGTACACCTCCAGGTTTTATCTCAAGTTCAAGCACCTGGAGAGGGCTTTTGACATGTTGTCCGAGTGCGGATTCCACATGGTGGCCTGTAACTCCTCGGTGACAGCTTCCTTCGTCAACCAGTACACAGACGACAAGGTCTGGTCCAGCTACACCGAATACGTCTTCTACCGTAAGTACGAGCTGCGGCCGCTCCCCGCCGCTGTCCGCGCGTCCTGTGTCCCGAGCTCGGGCTCCATCTCCGTGTGAGCTGTGCAGGTGCGGCGGGGCTCAGCTCGGGCCGGGCTAGGTGGCAGCACAGACTGCCGAAAGCGCCGCGCCTGTGCCCGCAGGCGCTGTAAATCAGCTCCCGAGTGCCTTGCGCGCTTCCCGGGACGTGTGGGACACAAGCCGAGGGTGCAAACGCTGCGAAATTCATTACAGAAAGCCTTCGACTGGGATTCACTTTGCAAAGGTAATCAGCAGGCGCAGGCAGCCGAGCCATCTGTCAGCAGCCCTGACACGCTTCCACGCGGGAAGGGGGAAGCAATTCCATCCCTCTGGCCGCGTTTCAGCGGAGCCGTCTCGGAGAGATGGAATTGGCTCTCTCGGGGCTGTGCTCCGCAACACAGAGGGCTCAGAGCAGAGAGGGGCAGGGGCTGGGCCAGGTTATGCAACACGCCCGTGGGAAAAGCCCGTGTCCTCTCCAGAAGTGCTCGCCCTGCTTCCCGCAGTCACATCGCATCCACGCCACTCTGAGCCACCCACGCTCGAGGGCTCATTAACGTCGGAGCTGGTACCCAGGTCCAGCTGGTTACCAATGGTAACACCGGGGGAATCCAGGTCCTACGAGTCTGTACCAGAAAACCCTTCCACAATTGCTGTGCCAAAACATTGGAGAGGTTCATGAGGCTGTTTGCCTCCATTTTCGTTTGAGGAGGATGAAGGATGGAACAACTGCCCCGTCCATCAGTGCAGACAGCTGCTGCTCTGGCTGGTGGCCTTGGGACAGAGGAACAGAGGGACAGAGGGAGAGAGGGACACAGGGACACAGGGACACAGGGACACAGGGACACAGGGACACAGGGACACAGGGATGTCGCTTGGCTGGCAGAGCTGCTGCTCTGGGTGTGGTGCTCACAGTGAGCAGGCTCCTGGCGTGGGGAGCTGACAAAGTTTTCGATGGAGGATGTATCAGGGAGTGAACAGTTCGGGTGTAATTCCGTGCATTCAGCGCCATCTACTCTTGTGTGGGGCTCAACAGGCAGCCCTAATCTGCTTATGCAATGAAGCTTAAGTTAGCATCCTGAAAAGCCATCTGGGTTTTTGACATCTGTAGATTTACTTAAAATTAGTTTTCTAGCTGGATTTCTTAGCAAAATAGTTCTAAGGTCATGGATCCGCTTATATTCCAACAGGGATAGATGATTTGTGTTATTAAGAAGCTTCTGCTTGAAATTACAGTGTCTTGTACAAATTCCAGGAGGAGAATTAATGTAGGTAAAGGATTGGATTAGAACAAATTGTGCTGGCATTTATATTTAATATAAGGAAAAAATATAAGTTCTTTATAGGCACAATGGTCTCTGCTAATTGAAGAGAGGATGAACATAGTTTTTCCCTGAATTAGGAAACACAGGCTCCTGATTTTTATGTTTCTCAAATTTTTACATTCAAAGATTGTTCACTGCTCCCACATCACGACAGCCAGGGAAAGGGGCCAAGAGGAGAGGTACTGTAGAATTTTTGGAGAACGAAAGTTCATGGCAGGTGTCACAAAATCATCACTCAAGAGTTAAATCCAATTGAAGTTCCTGGAAAGATTCCTATCCAGTCCAGCAGGCTTTGGATTTGGCTCTGATCAGGTTTGTGGGGTTTTGACACTGATACAGTTTCAGAGGTGGATTTTTCAGTGTCCTTCCCCAGGTAAAAGCCAAAGCCATGGCTGTGGTGCCAGATGTCACTTTCTTGTCCCGGTCCGAGTGGTTCGGCTCTGCCGGTGCTGCTGCTGCTGCTGCCATGGAGCTCCAGCTGTGGATCTTCCCTGGCCCCATGCTCAGGGCTGGCTGCAGCTGATGCACCTGACAGCAGGCTCCAGCATTCACCTGGAGCAAAAGAATTCCTTCTCCAAATCTCCCGAAATAATTTCATTCCAGTTGTCCCAAAGCCATTTCATCTGAACTTTGAGGACCAATAAAACTGACATCTGGCTTTACATGGAACATGGCATCTCCTCTGCAGCTGCTTGGCCATAATTGTTTATTTAGATGCTGCCAACTGTGTCTATGTAAGCATTAATCCATCAAGCTGCTGTGAGCAGGTTAATGGGCCTGAACCTGGGAGGTGTCTAACACAACTGGGAAGGCAGAGACAGAGGTGGTCTCTGCAGGGCCGCTCAGGAACTCCTGTGAAAGGCCTGTGGAGGAGATCTTCCTAGCCGGAAAAGAGTGATTAGTTCCAAAGAAGGGAGAATGCAGGGAAGAATGGTGTTTCAATACACCAAATACACTGTATGCTCCAAATACCACTGGGAAGGTAAATGCCTGTGCTTGGCACGAAGATAAAGAACGTTTTTCATGTGCAAATCCGTCTGAAAGCGGCCGAGGTGGAGCGGCGGGGGTGTGAGCTGAGCAGCTGTCACAGGGTACAGCGTGTGCCAGGGACGCGCTGCACCACCAGCGCTGCACCACCAGTGCTGCACCTCCAGTGCTGCACCTCCAGAGCTGCACCACCAGTGCTGCACCTCCAGAGCTGCACCACCAGCGCTGCACCACCAGTGCTGCACCTCCAGTGCTGCACCACCAGTGCTGCACCACCAGTGCTGCACCTCCAGTGCTGCACCTCCAGAGCTGCACCACCAGAGCTGCACCACCAGTGCTGCACCTCCAGTGCTGCATGGCTTTTGGTCCCTGCGGCCCTTTTGGGGCTGGCACGGCTGTGTGTGAGTCCGGGAGCGTTCCCCGGGGGAGCCTTTCCCAAAAGCAGCCCTGCGGGCCAAGCCCGGCACTGCCCGGAGCTGTTCTCGGGGTGATTCCGGCACTGCCCGGAGCTGTTCTCGGGGTGATTCCGGCACAGCCCGGAGCTGTTCTCGGGGTGATTCCGGCACAGCCCGGAGCTGTTCTCGGGGTGATTCCGGCACTGCCCGGAGCTGTTCTCGGGGTGATTCCGGCACAGCCCGGAGCTGTTCTCGGGGTGATTCCGGCACTGCCAGCCCAGAGCTGTTTGTGGAGGGGCCGGCAGGGCCACAGTCGGGCTCCAGCCAGCCCCACATGGGCCGAGGCACGGCAGGGCTTGGGGACAGGCTGGGGTTGGCCAGGACAGCCACCCCTGAGCAGCTCTGTGACACACAGCTCCTGCCAGGGATGAGCACAGGACATGCACTGGCTATGGCTGGATTTCTGACCAGAACCATTTTGTGGGTTCCCCCCCATTATTGCTTTAATGACCTTAAAGTAAAACCTCATCTCCAAACTCTCACATTTTTGAAGAGGGTGAACAGCCTCTGCTTGGGTCTTCATTTTCACCTCTTTTCAGCCTTTATGTTGTGATGAACTGCAAGCGTGCACTTGAACATCTGGTGGCGGTGGTGCTGGGGCAGGGGCTGTGCCAGCAGCCGGGCTGGCTCAGCCACCATCGCCTGGCCCCGTTCTGGGCTGTGGCAGCACCAGCAGAGCCCACACCCTGCCCCTGTGCGGTCACACAGCCCCGCCGCGGCTGCTGCCACTGCCAGGAGGGCAGAACAGCAGCGTGGGAAGGGAGAAGGGCTGAGCTTCCACCGGCGGTGCCCACACAGCGGGATGTGTGTGCCTGCAGGGCAGCTGGCACCTCAGTGACACGGCCAGGCACGGCATGGCACCAAAGTGCCAGCCAGCCCCATCTCACACGGCTGCCACAACAGCCCGGAGCCGAGTCCCTTCTCTCCAGAGGGGCTGACAGGCAGCACGGTCTGATGTGGTGGAGCCTTTCCTTGCACTGCCCCTTCGCAGCTGCACACGGGGAGCAGCCCAGGCAGTGCAGATGTGCAGAGGAAGCTGAGCTGTTCCTGGAGCTCTGAAAGCCAAAAGCTGATAAATGCTGCTCCTGCAGGCCCTGCGCTGGCTCCGCTCCCTCCGGGAGCCTGAGGATGCTGCGGCCTCACCTCGCTCTGTGCAGGAGCTCCTTGCAGCTGCTGGCAGGAGGCTGACGTGCAGAGATGTTTGTGAAGTAGCTTCAGAGTATCCTGGGATAAACAGATGAATCCTCTTGGGTGGGGATGTGCAGGAGGAAGAAATGTCAGGCGATATTCCCCGATGCCTGTCCATTGGACACAATTCCCTGGGATAATCCTGGTGTCTGCTTCACAAGAGGATCCATTTGGGATTGCTGCCGCCAGCTGGGGCCTGTCACTGTGCGTGTGTGACTGAGCTAAAGGGTCCCATACTGATGTGCCTACCACTGACTCATAAATTCATTGTGTGGCAGAAATTTGACTCACAAAACTGAGCAGTCTTTGCACAGTGACACCCACAGCTGTGCTGTCAAATGGGCAAGATGTGGGAGAGGAACATCACCCGGTCCTCTTTAAACCGATACTGTCACATGATCCAGGAGCTGCTTCTGTCTGGTTTTAAATCAGTGAAGATCAAAATGACCCCAAAGCGAGCAAAATGAAGTCTAATCCAATGAATAATGCAGGCTTCTTCCCCGCTGACAGGAGATGTTTCTGTTTCCAGGTAATTATTGTCATCATCGATGCCTCTGGTCCCTCTTGCCAAAGCAAACCCTCTCACCAGGATGATCATCTGCAGGTGGTGGGGCTGCAGCCAGCCAGGTCTGTCAGTCTGTTCATGGCTGAAGGACCTTGCTCCAAGCTTTTTTGCTCTCCCAGTTTTCCAGGGCAGGCTGGAAAGCCTGCAGAGCTGTTGATTAGAGTTACTTCATAGATGAGAAATGCTGTTATTTATTGGAAACCAGTTGTGTCATATCTGACTGTCAGATTAGGCCAAGAATCTGCTGCTCAGTGAGTAAGCAAAGCAAAACTTGATGGAAGAGTTGGTTGGATTTAGGGCTCAGAGTTGGTTCTAACAATCACAGAAGGTGATGCTGAGGAAGCAGCAAGGATGGCTTTGGGCCCTGGCTGTCTCTGCCCAGTCCTGACTGGCACTGGTGACCCTGACCCTTGGGTGTGACCTTAATGGGCTGTGACATTTCTGT